TCTCACATAAAAGAGGCATAAATGAGCTACTACAGTGGAGGGGAAGATAGGTGGGTGGTAGGCAACACTTGAACCTTACTCTCTCCAAAATTGGGTCAAAGAGGAAATAACATACACACCGATCTGGATGTAGAAATCTAGCTTAACCTGTAGGGAAGTAAAAAGGGATGGGGATAAGAGAAGTGAGGAACTAATAGAAGAAAGGGAGGATTGGGGGAGGTGGTGATCAGAAATAAAATATTTGTGAGAAAGGACAGGGTGAAAGGTAAGAGAGGAAACAAAGGAAAACAAAGGAAGCATAAGATAGAAGTGAGGGAAATACACAGTAAGTTATAACTGTATATGTGAATAGGAAGAACTCACTCATAAAACCAAAGCAGATAACAGAATCTCATATTATTCTATTTTTAAGAAAAACATTTGAAGCACAGAGACACAGACAAAGTAAAGGTAAGGGACTTGAGCAGAATCTATTAGTTGAAGTAAAAAAAAGGGGGGGTAGCAATCGTGATCTCAGATAAAGCAAAAGCAAAAATAGATCTAATTCAAATATAAGGAAGGGAACTATATCTTGCCAAAAAGTACCAGAGACAATGAAGTAATATCAGTACTAAACACTTATGCACCAAATGGTATAGCATCCAATTTTTTAAAGGAGAAGTTAAATGAGTTTCAGGAAGAATAGACAATAAAATGATCCTAGTGGGAGACCTCAACTTCCTCCTCTCAGAACTAGATAAATCTAACCAAAAAAATAAACAACAAAGAAGTTAAGGTGGTGAATAGAATTCTGAAAAGGTTAGATGTTATTTATCTCTGGAAAACCCTGAATGGGAATAGAAAGGAATATACCTTTTTATCAGCAGTACATAGCACCAATACAAAAACTGACCATGTATTAGGGCATAAAACCTCACAACTAAATGTAGAAAAGAAGTATAATATGCATCTTTTTCAGATAATAACACAATAAAAATTATATTCAATAAAGGGCAGTGGAAAGATAGATTAATCTCATTAAAGAGAATGACAATATAGAGACAACATACCAAAATTTATGGGATAAAGCCGAAGCAGTACACTTAGGGAAAAATTTATATCTCTAAACATTTACATCAATAAAGAGAAAAAGCAGTTCAAGGAATTCTGCATGTAATTAAAAAAACTAGTAAAAGAAGAGATTAAAAAAAAACACAATTAAATACCAAACTAAAAATCCTAACAATTAAAGGAGAAATTAATAAACTTGAAAGTTAAAAAAAATTATTAAACTAATAGAAGAAAACTAAAAGCTGGTTTTATGGGAAATAAAATAAATATACTATTAATTAATTTGATTTTAAAAAGGAAAGAAGAAAATCAAATTCCCAGTATCAAAAATTAAAGAGATGAATTCACCACCAATGAATAAAAAATAAAACAATTAGTAGGATTGTAGTAGGCAAACAATTGCCTATTACATGCCAATAATTCAATAATGAAATGGATGAATAGCTCCAAAAAATATAAAATGCCCAGATTAACAGAAGAGGAAATAGAATATTTAACTAACCAATCTTATAAAAAGAAATTGAACAAGCCATCAATGATCTCCCTCAAGAAAAATTCTTAGGAATAGATGGATTCATAACTGAATTCTAGCAAACATTTATAAAACAATCCCAATACTATATAAATTATTTGGGGAAATATGCAAAGAAAGAATCCTACTAAATTCCTTTTACAATACAAATATGGTGCTGATACCTAAAGCAAGAAGAGCAAAGTTAGACAAAGAAAAGTGTAGAACAATTTCCCTAATGAATTTTGATGCAAAAATTTAAATAAAATATTAGCAACGAGATTAGCACTATGATCAGGTGAGGTTTATATCAGGAATGCAGGTCTGGTTCGATATTAGGAAAACAATCAGCATAATTAACCATATCAATAACAAAAAAAACCCAGAAATCATATGATTATCTCAATAGCTGCAGAAAAACCTTTGACAAAATACAACACCTAACCCTGTTAATAACACTAGAGATTACAGCGATAAATGGAGCTTACCTTAAAATTTTAAGTAATATTTACTAAAACCATCATCAATCATTATCTATAATGGGGATAAGTTACAAGCCTTCCCAATACAATTAGAGTGAGGCAAGGATGTCCATTATCACCATTATTATTCAAAAATTATTCCAGAAATGCTAGCTGTAGCAATAAGAGAAGAAAAAGAAACTGAAGGAATTAGAATAGGCAATGGGGAAACAAAACCATTACTCTTTGCAGATGATTACGATGCTATACTTAGAGAATCCTAGAGAATCAACCAAAAATTAATTGAAATAATTAACAACTTCAGCAAAGTTGCAGAATACAAAATAAAGTCACATAAATCATCTGTATTTCTATATATTACCAACAAAGTCCAGCAGCAAGAAATGAAAGAGAAAGTCCATATAAAATAACTGTAGAAAAAATAGAAAGAGAAATTCTATATAAAATAACTACAGAAAATATAAAATACTTGGGAGTCCATCTGCCAAGCCAAAACCCAAAACTGTATGAAACAAATTAGAAAATACTTCTCACACAAATAAAGTCAGATTTAAGCAACTGGGAAAATATTAATTGCTTATGGGTAGGCTGAGCCAATATAATAAAAATGACAATTCTAGGTATTCAGTGTAAAACCAATCAAACTGCCAAAAAATTGTGTTTATAGAGCAAGAAAAAATCAGAAAAAATTCATCTGGAAGAACAAAATGTCAAGAATATCAAAGTAATTAATAAAAAAAAAATTGGATGAACGTGGCCGAGCTATACCAGACCTCAAACTATATTATACAGTGGTAATTATCAAAACTATCTGGTACTGGCTAAGGAATAGAATGGTGGATCAATGGAATAGGTTAGGTACACAATACATAGTAAATGACCATAGTAATTTAGTGTTTGATAAACCCAAACATCCAGGTTTTGGGGATAAAAACTCATTATTTGACAAAAACTTCTGGTAAAATAGAAAACAGTATGGCAGAAACTAAGCACAGACCAACATCTCACACCATATACCAAAATAAGGTCAAAATGGGTACATGATTTAGACATAAAGGATGATACCATCAGCAAATTGGGAGAACAAGGAATTGTTTACCTGTCCAACCTATGGAGAAGGGAAGAATTTTTGACCAAACAAGAGATAAAGAGAACTACAAGATGTAAAATGGATTATATAAAATGCAAAAGTTTTTTTGGACAAACAATAACAATGCAACAAAAATAGAAAGAAAGCAGAAAACTAGGTGAAGGGGGGATTATACAGCAAGTATCTCTAATAAAGGCCTCACTTTTCAAAAAATATAAAAAACTTAGTCAAAAACTTACAAGGATAGAAGTCACTCCCCAATTGATAATTGGTCAAAGGATATAAACAGGCAGTTTTCAGACAAAGAAATCAAAGCTATCTATATAAAAATGCTCTAAATCCCTACAGATTAGAGAAATGCAAATTACAACAACTCTGAGGTACCACCTCATACCTATTAGATTGGCTAATTTGACAGAAAATAAAGGAAAATGTTAAATGTTGGAGGGGACATGGAAAAACTAGGACGCTAATGCACTATTGGTGGAGTTCTGAACTGATCCAGTCATTCTAGAAAGCAATTTGGAACTTGCCCAAAGGGCTATAAAATTGTGCATATTCTTTCATCCAGCAGTACCACTGCCAGGTTTGTATCCCAAAGAGAACAAAGAAAAGGGAAAAGGACCTATATGTACAAAAATATTTATAGAAGCTCTTTTTGTGATGGCAAAGAATTGGAAACTGAGAAGATGGCCATCAATTGGGAAATGGCTGAACAATTGTGGTACATGATTGTAATGGAATATTATTGTGCTATTAGAAAGGACAAGCAGGATGATTTCAGAGAAACCTGAAAAGACTTATATGAACTGACACAAAGTGAGCAGAAGCAGAAGCGCATTGTACATAGTAACAGCAATATTGTACACTAAAGGACTATGAATGACTTGGTTCTTCTCAGCATTACAGTGACCCAAGACAATCCCAAAGGACTCATGATGAAAAATGCTATCCACCTCCAGAAAAATACCTGATGTTGTCTGAATATAGACTGAAACATTCTTCCTTCCTTCCTTCCTTCCTTTCTTTTTCAATTCTTGCACAAAATGATTAATATGGATACATTTTACATGATTGCATATGTTTAATCTATATCAGATTGCTTACCATCTCAGAGAGGGGAAAAGGGACAGAGGAAGGGATAAAATTTGGAACTCAAAACTTTTAAAAAAGACAATGAATGTTGGAAATTGTTTTTACATGTAATTGAAGAAAAATAAATATTTTTAGAATAATAGTTTTTTGTAGTACTTTAAATTTTGCAAACTATTTTTCACATGTTATCTCATTTGATCTTCACTATAACCCTGGAAGGTAGGTGCTATTATTATTTCTATTTTACATGAGTAAACTGAGGTGCTGAGATTAAGTGACTTGCACAGCATCACACAACTATTAAGTGTCCCAGTAAACTCACATCTGTCTGCAAGTCCAGTACTCTAAGCACATCATCCATCATTCCTATACACACTCATTTGTCCCTAATCTTCTGTATTTAAAAAAATACAACTAACAAAAATCAAACAAAAAACATCCACTTTGAGCATTTCCACTTTAACCATTTCTCTCAGTTCAAAATCAGACTCTCTCCATATTTTCCTAATCCTAGTTTTACCACCACCTTTTCATTGCCCTTGAGGAGCAGAGTCTGTTTTTGCGTGTTTCTTTTGTTTTGCTTGTCTTGCATGCCCAGTGCTTAGCACAATGCCTGATATACAGTTGGCACTTAAAAAATGCTTGTTGACATGATGTTCTTTCTAATCATCCTACTCTCTTTAGCCTGTTCTCCTCTCTCTTTTTTCCCTGTTTTCTTTTCTCTAGAATAACTAGACTTTGAAGTCCTTCATCTCAGGCAGACACTTACTTGCTCTGCTCTTGAACACAATGGGAATTATCAAGTGAGCAGATTGAAGAGGGACCTCATCAGAAGCTGAAAAAGAGTTTCCAAGAGGAGAAGGATGGAGAGGTTGAGTCTGGAGGTTAGTTAAGTCAGACAGGAGAGATAATAAAACAGGCAATAAATACTTAGACACGCCATTCCAATTTGCCATTTTTTCAGGGCCAACTATACTGAACTCAAGTACATATTGGGAAAATTTTGAAGACTCTCACCTTCATCACCTGCCATTTAACCATGAGGGAAAAGAAAAGGAAAGGAAAAAAGAAATCAGAATTCATTCCGGAACAAATAACTTCAGGCAAGAGGAAACAAAAGTTCAAAAATCTTGCAGACCTCAGGTAACTAATTGGTTTTTCAAGCTCAGTCTTGGCCAGGCAGCCTGACCCTCCTTAATTAGGGGTAGCCTTTTTTCCTTCATTGTCCTTGATTGAATCCAGCTGCCACTTAATTGCCAGCTGTTCTCTGATTCCCAGGTCAGGACCTTCTTAAGGCCAAGTCAGTGGCTCCTGGTGAGTGGTACATGGCATCCTAGGCCCTTGGTATACTTCGATTTGTCATGGTGCCCATTAAGTGGATATGTAACAGATGGTATCTTGTTTTAGTTGAAGATGAGTAGGTGAGAAATTGTCTGGCTACGTTTTTTATTTTTTATTTTAAAAAAATGAGAAAAATAATCTGCAGCTGGTATGCTTTTTTTTGTTGTTGTTGCCTCATAAATATTATTTTCTTTCATTCAATAGCAAAAAGGCCTCTGAGGAAATGACATGACTACATTATATCCTGGACAAAACCAAGTCAACATTCCCTTGGCTTTATAATTACTGGATAGACAATTATTTACAGGTGGGAAAAAAGAAAGAAAAACTCAAGTGTACGTATCTGTTATCAGATGAGAAGGTGCTTTGAGCACTGATATAAAAACTAATTCTCAGACTTGGATATTTTTTAATGACAAAATATTTCTATGTGGACAGTATCACCTCAAAAAACTTGTATGTGTGACAGAGTGTGTGCCAGGGTGACATGAGAGCTCCACCCTACCCTCCCCACCTCCCCACCAGAGCCCAGTCAACCACTGAATAGATCCTTCTGTGAGCTGGAGCACAGGGACAAACCATTCTATGTCAAAGACTTGCCAAGGCACTGCACTGACTTGAACTCCAATAAGAAAATTTCAAATCCGCCCTGTTGGTTGCCAGTAAACGAGGATTTCTGAGAGAGTGGAACATGTTCATATTTCCTTAGTTTTTTGTCAACAACTGAACAGCTGTGTTCCAAATGGACTGAAGTTAAGCCAAAATATTGTCTGGCAGTCCAGCAAACAGAATCTAACAATAATTGGTTCTCAGAGCCACTTCCAATATGAATCCCAACATTCCACATTCTGAGGGCAAGAGGATAGGGAGAAGACAAAAGTGAACCTTAATCCTACCTAAATGGTTTTGTATTACAAGAATGACAGAAATCTGAAGACAGTTTCTTCTTTACAATGTTCTATTTCTTAAGACATGCAAATAATTGAGGCCAGTTGAAATATTCATCATGGAAACCATGATCAAGCCAAGTTAGTTTTTCTAGGTAGAAGTTTTCTTCTAAACCGGGAAAGACCTGGAGCACTAGTGATTATACTGACATTGTCTTTCTCTATGCCTTGCCAGAAACTACCTAACATTTTAATGTCAAAGGAATATTGCCAAGGATTCATCTTTTATAAACTTTTTGGGAAAATCCACTAGTCTTAAGGGTGTTTGTGTGATGCAGACAAGACACTAGTCTGGGAGTCAGAAGGCCTGAATTTGGGTCTTGTCTTTCCTCTTAATTCACCATGAGAATTAACCACTTGGACAGGTTATTAACATTTCTGAGACTGTTTCTTAGGAGAAGGCTGGAGCCACCTCCAATCAGCTTGTAAGAGCTAATTGTTAAAATTTCAATATGAGCATTTATGCCCCTGAAATGGGCAAATGCTACAAATCAGGGCTTGATTTATTTTTGTTGGTGCTGACTGTCTAGGCTTAAAGTGATGGAGAAAATATTAATGCAGATTAAACTTGAAAGTGTGGCAAGTGTGTGTGTAGATACATGTCTGTATGTGTATATAAGAGAGTTGATTGTTAAACATTTACCAGTCCACCACTGTGGTTCTTTATCTACAAAATGAGAAGGTTGGACTAGGTGATTTCTCATGTTCCTTCTAGCTCTAAGATTCCCTGATTCTATGCTTCAAAGGAGAAAGAAAACTATACTTTTTCCTAATCAGTTAAATCTTGAATAACATTTTCTCCCTTCTGGATACCATCCAGATTTTTGAAAGGTATTGGGGAAACAGAAAGTATTGGTGACATTATTTAATGTTTCCATGTGGTTTAAAAAAAAAAAGGAATGCAACTTACAACACAAGACAAACATTGGAGCAACCTATGGGCGATGCCAAACCAAACTTGCCACCTTGAGGTTTGGCTGATTTCAAGACATCTATCTGAGTGGACTTGAATTTCGACTCTATTTCTTCAGTTCTTGAGGTCATTGGCTTATTAAGAAAAATAATTTTTATTTCTTCAACAAACGGTAGGAGGAGTCACTACATAAAAGTATGACCTTTTTTTTTTTCTCAGAAATTCAGATATGGAAGGGAAAAGAGAAATGATCCAATGCAATCTCCTCATTCTACAGATTGAGAAAATCAAAGCCTAGAGAGGCTAAGTGATGTTCATAATATCAATCAGTTAACTGTGTAGCAGAGCCAGGATTTGAACCAAATCCACAGAATTACATAATTCCAGAATTGGAAGGGACCATAATGGCCACCTTGAACTCAGGATTGAAAAAAGGAATTCTCTCTAAAATTCCACAAGCAATCAACCAGCTTCATTTTAAAGATTGCCAGTGAAGAGAAAGCCACTACCTTCTAAAAGTATTGGACTTTGGGCTAGCTCTAACTATTAAATATTTTTTCCCTTGCATCAGACCTGAATTTGTCTCTTTGCTGCTTCTACCCCATAGCTTCTAGTTCTTCTCTCTCTAAACCCTCTCCCAGGTGACAGCCCTTCATATACTTGAGGAGGTCTTTAAGGTTCCTTAAGGTTTCTCTTCTTTTGGATAAGCCTCCTCACTTTCTTCATATGGAAATCTATCATATGGAATCCATTCATATAGAACCCATCCTCATATGGAATCTAAACTCGGGCCCTTCACCACCACTTTTAGTGATCTCACTTCCTCTTTTGTTGTCCTCCAATTTCTAAGTTTAAAATACCATAATGCTGTGCCCCAATATTCTCAACACTCCCATGACCCTGACCTTTCTCTCCTCATTACTCCAAAACCATTTAATCCATACCCTATAATCAAAGGACATTGATTTGTTTTAGGTTTCATTGAAAGAATGAGTTCTAGCTCTGGCTTGGGTGCTAATCTAACCAATTCTGATTTAATAATTGAACAATTATTCAGGCACCTTGGCCAAAGGGGCTGCTTCTGTACTGATTCTTCTATTCATTCCTGTAGAATCTCTCTAAGACATAGGGGAGGAAAAACATTGCTATGATATTAATCAAACAGCATCAGGAATTGTTTACTATATGCCAGATACTGTCCCCCGGGGGATACAAAGAAGGGTAAAAACATGATCTCTGCCCTCAAGGAACTCACATTCTAATGGTGAAGACATATTTTTTAAAAAGGTACATATAAGATTCATATAGATTTTGTATACATATATATGTAGCCTATATGTACATTCTTTCCCTCTGAGATTTCCTTTCACTTATTCTGTTTGTATATTTATAGCAATTGGGGGGGGGGGCAGAGATTGGGAAAGGTCAATGGCAGAATGTAATATCTGAACTGAGTCTTGAAGGAAGCCAGGGAAGGCAAGAGTCAGAGGTGAGGACAACATTATTGAGGTAGGGGATCGCCAGAGAAGAGGCATGGAGTTGGAGTGTCATGTAAGATAAAAGCAAAAATACAAATGTGATTGTGTCATAGATTACCTAGAGGGAAGTAAAGAGTAGGAAGAAACTATTAGCAAGATAAAAAATCCCTAGTGTAAATTCATAACCTGCAAATACTTGGACATTGAGTCATGTAAATTAAAAGCAAGAATAGAGACCTTAGTCATCATCTAGTTGAACCCATTCATTATAGAGAAAAGAGAGTTGAGACACAGAGGAGTAATTTGCTCAAAGTCATGTAGTCAAGTACCCTGATTCCAAGTTTCCTTCTAGGGTTGCCTTGTATCCTGTGCCTCCAAATCTGGTGTTCTCTGCTCTCATAGCTGCTGGCTTGGAATGGTTAATTTTCAGCTGGGACCAGAATTGTTGGCCAAGAAAGCAAAATACCATTTATAAGTTCCCCTAAAGAGAAAGGATATCCTCTGCCAGGATCATTTGATTTTCTCATCACCATTTCCTAAGAACACTGGCTCTCACAGCTGGCATTTCACAAACCAGGGTGGCTTCCTCTGAGCTTTTCAAGAATTTTGTCCTCTGATTCAGAGGACCTTGTTAATGACTCTGTGCAGGGCATATTTACCATTCTTACTGTCCTCAACAATTTCCTTCTATCTGGTAAGCATTTGGGAAAGATTTGACTTCTGCTTCTATTTTCTCCTTATATTATTTACATACTCTTTTTCTATCATGTTTAACATTCAATATCTATAATTTGTTGCTTCTGGGAGTGCTACTTGGTTGCTGATATAGGATAATTATTGTACCTGAGCTATTAGGAAAAAAATACCAAAAAAAAAATGGTAGCCCTGGCATGGTCCACAGTTACAATTCTTTCCCATACTCTGTAGTCCAGCCACACTGGTCTTCTTGCCATTCCTCACACATGGCACTCCATCTACCATCTCCATGAATTTGCACTGGCTGCTCCAGAGTGCTTGGAATGCACCTCCACCTCTCAGAATCCCTTCTATTCTTCAAAACTCTGTTTAAGATTCACCTTCCACATGGAATGATTTTTGACCCCTTTGGCTTCCAGGTTCCTTCCTAAAAAAATGCATTTTATTTTATATATATTTTGCATATACTTATTTATGTACTTAGGATTCCCTCCAACAGAGAACAGGGAGTTTTTGTGTTTTGTTTTGTTTTGTTTTTGTTGGGACTTCAACACCATGCTTTAACTGCAGGCTTACTCTGGAACTGCCCACTAAGTCAGGGACCTTTTCATTCTGGAATAGCCTTCTACCATTTTGGTCCCTTTCTCTCATAGATGATTTCCTTTGGGGGCCTCCATTTGGGAGAGTGACCCGAGCTGGCCAACCTTTATTCCTCTCCTGGCTATACTTTTGACTTTCTAGATTTCCATATCACCCCACCCCTTTTGCAGGCACCTTTCCTCTCCACCCTACTATTGAGGTTCCTTTTGTGTGTTGTCTTCTAGCATTGGAATATAAATTCCTTATGGATAGGGACTTTCATGGTATCTGTATTGTATCTCCACTGCTTAGCACAGTGCCTGACCTGCAGTCAGGGATTAATAAATGCACATTGCCTTGCCTTGATTTTTGTCTTTCTATAGCCAGTGCCTAGAATTGTACCTGGAACATAGTAGGTGTCTAATAAGTGTTAATTGATTGATACTACCCCACTACTTTCATATAGTGCTATTGATAACATATATGAAAGTTAGGTTCATATCCAATAAAGGTGATTCATTATCTCGATAATTTATTTCAATGTTTAATAAACAGTGGAAGGGTCATTGGATTGGAGGATACAAATTGTGGCTCTGACATGTTGCTGTTCTTCCTTCTTTTTTGAAGAAGGAATATTGACTTGAATATGAACTTGATTTAAGTGAGACAGAGTTGCACAAAGTCATCAGCTTCACTCTCCCTTCCAAAGCCATCAAAGTCCAGTGGCAGGACCAAAGTCAAGATGGGTGGCAATGGCCCAGGATGCA